AGTCTATAAATTATCTTATGGTTGTCATTGGGTCTATTAACCTATGCCTGAATATTTTTATTTTTGTTTTTGTTTTCAAATATGTATAGTTCCCAGAAGAATTTTTTTTAGTGTAGAAAAATACATTTAAAACAAACAACTTAGGGGTGCCTGGGTGGCTCAGTTGGTTAAGCAGCTGCCTTCAGCTCAGGTCATGATCCCAGGGTCCTGGGATCAAACCCCGCATTGGGCTCCCTGCTCATGGGAGAGCCTGCTTCTCCCTCTCCCTCTGCCTGCCACTCTGCCCACTTGTGCTCTCTCTCTATCTCTCTGTCAAATAAATAAATAAAATCTTAAAAAAAAATAAAACAAACAACTTAAATAAATTCCAGAGAAAAAATTTTAATTCATTCAGAATGAACAAAATATTACAAGGTGATGGTTATTTTGCATCAAAAACTACTATATACAAACCAGCAAGAGAACATGAAGCTCAGAAATTATCTGAGAAGATAGAGTTAAGAAGGAAAGCTTCTTGGAGAAGCTACCTCTTAAGATAGTTCTTAAAGAAAGCAATGGACATGAACTGAAAGAAATTCATCCATAAAGTATTCTCAACTGGGTGTTATAACAGAGCTATGCCATAAAAATGCAGACCTTCACAAGGTGTAGGTCTCCTTCCCTGGTCTAGGTACCAGGGAGAACCAAGCTAGAAACTTTTCAGATGAAAGTGCTAATCCTAAATATTAACTTTCTGTCCAATATGTGTCCTCAAAAGGGCCCCGTAGAAACACAAGTATGTCATTTCAAAAGCTTAAGACAGATGTTATCACTTACATTGTCCACCGCTTACTGTTTTAACATAACTGTCTAAATATACCCTTGGGGTATATGGGGCACCTGGGTGGCTCAGTCAGTTAACTGCCTGCCTTCAGCTCAGGTCATGATCCCAGGGTCCTGAGATCACATCGGGTTCCCTGCTCAGCAGGGAGCCTGCTTCTCCCTCTCCCTCTGCCTGCCACTCCCCCTGCTTCTGTTCTCTCTCTCTCTCTGTCAAATAAGTAAATAAAAATCTTAAAAATAAATAAATAAACTAACTAACTTCTCAGGACATGTTTTGTCCTCTCTTCATTATAATAGTCTTCTGTACGGCTTCTAAGGCTTAAAATCAATGATGGCTAGGTATAGAATAATATCCAAATAAATTTGGATTGTTCATATTTCTTGAAATCTGCATAAAGATAAAAAAATTGGAGCACTGTTCTACCTTAAAAACTACTACCTGCATACACAATTGGTTATTAGGTTTAATTAATTTTAAAGATTTAATCAATTTTAAAATTTATTAATTTTATTAAAACATTTCATTAAAAGATGTATTTATTATAATTGATTAACTTCTAATAAATTTTTTTAATTTCATCTTCAGAGTCAAAATAGCAAACATATTGAAGATATGTGCTGTAAAGAACTAATCTACATCACTCTGAGGAAGGACAAATATGTAATGTGTAAACACAGAAATAATTTTCAGTCTAATTAGAAGCATAAAGAAAAGCATTTACTGAGGGTAAATACGCATCCAAGTGATTAATCAAAACTTGCAATGTGCGAAGAATCAGCTTTTGTTCAACCACAATCCAAGTGCATACTCCATTCCTTTGCCTTTTAATTCAGACCATTCATATTAACACTCCTTGGGAAGAAGGGGGGCGGTGAAAATATTATGAATGAATTTCCAAGGTGGAAGATGATAATTCCTGTGTTATAAAACAATTTTATAGTAGTTACCTTACTCAGTAAGTCCATGTACATTTATTTATAGTTTTAAAATTTTCACAAACCTAACATTAAAAATTTTAAACATCACATAAAATACTCCAAAAGAAAATCAGTAATTTCCTCTATCTGTTTAATGCTAGAAGACTAGAGAAAGTATTTGAAAAGTAGGATTAATCAATTTATTTACTATTTGGACTCATGTAAAGTAATAAATTCACCTAAGTAAAGTTAAAGCCCATGATCTATGTAAAATTTATATTATAAATGTATCTACTGCTACTGTAAAAGTCTTCCTTATGCTTCAGAATCCTACAGCTTAGTTTTCATGATTACTATGTTTCAGATATTTTTTCCATTTCTCTCATTTATTTTTTTAATTTTAATTGTATATTTCATTTTATTTTTTGTTTAAATTCAATTAGCCAACATATAGTACATCATTAGTTTTTGATATAATGTTCGTGATTCATTAGTTGCATATAACACCCAGTGCTCATCACATCATGGGGAAAGGGAGGGAAAACTGAATGGGAAGAAATCAGAGAGGGAGAAAAACCATGAGAGACTCTTGACTCTGAGAAACAAACTAAGGGTTGGGGAAAGGGAGGTGGGGGGGGGATGGGGTAACTAGGTGATGGGCATTAAGGAGGGCATGTGATGTGTTTCAGATATTTTTTAAGGAAGAAAATAGTCACTGGATATCAAACTTTTACCAGTACATCCAAATTTGCATTTCTTACTTTCTAACCCCAGAAAGACACCAAATATTAAATCCATTTAGACACTAAAAGTCCATTTAGAAAGCATCTAAGCATCTTTTCTAATCTAATGTTCAACAATGAGTGAATCATGCCTATTTTGCCCCAAGTAAATTTCATTGGCTTCTTTCCAAAAGAATGTTTGTCATCAGCTATTCCTATTTCCCCTGCTGCCCCTCTATGCTCAGTGACTTTTCTTGGTGCACCCAATTTTCTAAGCACAAATCTACCATAGCACTAATCATATAAGATTACATTATCTACTAAGTTGTACATCTCTTCCACTACACTACAAGTTCACTGAGGACAGGGTCTACGTCAATTGTCTTTGAGTTCTGGCCCATAGGAGAAGATCAATGCACACTTCCTGAGCTGTTTTTAAAACTGCTCTGTCTTATCATCCTTTGATGGAATCTCATTCTTGGCAGGGACAGTGCCATTGCTACATTGTAGACAGACTATCTTAGGTTACAGAGTTGACTCCTGACTCAAACATAAATTCATAGGAGTTCTAGGCTTTGAGTGTGAGCCAAGGAACTTGAAGGAAACACAAATAGCCACACAGCAGTGACTCAATCCGAAGGAGTGACAGCTTAAATCACTTCCCCATGTATTGTACCTGTCCTTTTTCCTACCCAAGTGATAGTTACTCTATTAAGCTCCGGGATGATACAACTATTAAAAGCAAATTATAAGTCAAAAGCCTTTCTTCCCTTTAGCGAGTCATATATCAACAAAGAAACCTCAAAGAAAGAAGAAAGTTCTGTGAACTTAGTAGGGTTTTCTAAATAATTAGTTCTTGTAAGGTGTAGGATTTGACATTTTTTCAGTTGATTTACAGGAGTTAAATTATATCCCAAACTCTTAATATAGTTTGATACATTTTACTAACCACACAAAGCTCAAAATCAAACTCTAAAGGTATCCTGTCCAATAAAAATTAGCTTCTGGAAGGCAGCTATAAAGGATTAGGTGGAAATGGGCCACCTTTCTGTTAAAGTGGGTGTGGCTCATATCTACTCAGTCTCTCTGACGGTTAAATTGCTCCTGCCTTTTTGTTCAAACAAGCTGACTTTCTGGTAAAGGATACTTTTGTCTTCCTGGTTTGTTGTGCAACCTAATGTAAGAGTGTGTAACTGTAATTGTCATATATAAATGGATACTCCCTGGATTTATAGAAATGCAAGAGGATAATAAAAATGAACTCACATTGGCATTTATAGTATTTAACCTATCAAGCAAATGGTGACTCATTTTTGAAGAGAAACTCTTAAGTAGAAATGGTTAGTATATTTACATTTCTCTACATCTGAAATTTGGGACATAATTGTGATTCACTTGTTCACCCTCTCCTCATACACTTTCATCATGGGTTGCAGGTTCTGCAGGGATTTGGGACCGACAGCAAAATTGTCTATTGTAAATCTCATCCCAAAATACTCCCTAGATGTCTAGGAATGAGCAGACAATATTAAAGTCTGCCTTATTACTAAAGTAATTTTTTTTAATCCAAAGCAAATGGGAAATGAAATGGCATGCTTAATTGAGTATTCTGAGTAATTGAAACTACACAAAGGATATTAATTTTAAAAGGATCAAAATATAGCAAAATGCACTCAACACCAAAAAATGCACTAAATATAATAATTTACATAGTCTCTCCTACTTATTAGCGTCATTTGTTATGGTATATGGTTATTTCAATATCTTAACCTGGTTTCTCAAAAAGTGGAGCCTGAGACAGGGACTTGCATATGGTAGTTGATCTGAGAAAGAGTAAAGAGTAAAAAGAATGAAATGAGGAGGGAGAGTGTTCACCATCAGGGGCAACTCTAGCTCTATCCCATGGGATCTTCTGAGTTATATATCAGAACTGTGCTCCCCTATGACTCAAGGGGGAAGCATTTGTCCATTGACTCCCATCTTACACCAGCTCCAACAGAGTTAACTCCCACATTTCCTATTGCCCATCTGGGAATGTCCAGTGGGTTCCTTCTGGCAGAAAGTGAGAAACCTAAAGTGCTAACTTGAGAAGGGCATGTGTCAAATTACTCCTGAGTAAAGGGGATCCAAATCTGTGTGGAATTCGTCACCACATTGTGGCTGGAATAAGATATGGGCTAAGAGTATTTAAAGTGGTGCATAAATGAGGTCAAATACATTCAGTCATCTGGTGATTTGGATTAAAGATACAGTGAAAGATGACTATTTTTCATACATTTTAGTACTTTCCAGGACCCGGACCTCTTTTTCAACTTATAATGGGGAACTTGAGAGTCTTTTTAGAAACAGAAGAATGAATACTAAGATTTTATTTCTCTCTATGCTAATCCATGATCATAGAAGTTATAGAGTCAAGATTGAATAATTGGATTATATTTACAGAATAATGTGTTCCTCAAAACAAAATTATTAGTATTAATGTTAAAGAATATGTCCATAAATGTAAATATTTCCTTTTCCTTTTTCTTTGACTTTTAGATATTTCAATGCCGACAGCAGAAAATCTTCTCCATGTTTGTAAGTTCATTAACAAAGAGTTATTTTCTAGTGAAATTTAATTCCCTGAATGGCAAAAAAAGACCTCCACTTGACAATCAATACGGTGTCCATAAAGATGTAATGGGAAGCCTGCTTTTAGAAACTTGGGAAAAGATGACTGTGGTTGGTCTTAAATTGACTGATATCATTGATTGACTGCTATAAATTGATTTTAAATGAGAAACACATTATTACATGCCATAATGGCAGAGGGGATCTAGGGACAAGCAGTGGTAATTATGAACTTAGGATCTAAAACCAGCTACACATCAGTTTTGAGACCCAGGTCCAACATGTACTAACTGGATGGTTAGTTAGTTTCTCAAACCTTCAGTTCCAAGCTGTTGCAATGACAAAAATGATAGCACAACTAAGGTACTTACAAAAGTACACAGCTCATAATAAGCACTCAGTAGATGTCAGTTGTATATTTTATTCTACCTATAAAAACTGTAGGCCTGGGAACTCACTGTGGAATTCTGATCATGCAAGTCAAGTTTCATGTGCTGAGACTTGCATGCAAGCAGCTTGCTTGCTGGCGAAGGCATTCTGCTTCCACTCTCCCACCAGCCGCCCTGGGAAATATGATCCCCAGGGTTGCTGGAACCTGTCGCAGGCTATCAGAGGACCACTGCTCTTACCTGGGCACTGAGACTAATTAGGGCAGTTGGAAATTGCCCTCCAGGGCCCGGTGACACCAACCCTGATGACTCTTACTACCTTTCAATCATAGCAGAGTTGAGTAACCTGGGCAAAACTTAACCACAAAGCTGTATTAGATTATTTTTCTCTCTGATATATTTTGACTGAACAGTCCTCAAGCTACTTAATAGGACACCTTAAAGTCAGTCATTCCAATTAAAAATTTTAGTACTGATACAATCAAAATCCACAATTAATAATGTGTCAGGTTGGCAGAAGAGACGTAATCAAAACAGGAATAAAAAGAGCAGTAAGAAAGAGATCAGCCAATTTCTACATCCCCTAGCTAGAACACTAAGCAACCATCCAGACCAGTATTCTGAACTTGACTTGGCCTATCTGAGGTTTTAATTGTACTTTAAATAAATAGCAAGAGGGGAAAGGTAGGCAAGAAAAATCAAACAGAATTGAAGAAAGAATAGAGTTTGGTACATGACAAAGTATATTATAGTAATAAATGATGGAATGGAAGTTAGAAGAGTATGGAGGCTGTAAGAGCTTGGTAGATTCTTTGACATTTCTGGAAGTATTAGCCATCAAGTCTTCATTATATTCCTTAAGTTCTTGAAATTTGCCATATGACCTCTTCTGATATAACAAAAGCTACAAGGTGCCATGTAAGATTTCAGCAGAGGTAATAACAAGGTAATATTGCAGAGGTGGCAGCTAGAAGCTTAACAGACACAGCAACGATGAGCAAATGAGAACTCAGAATGGAAATTGATGCATGAATATAAATTAGATTACAGTTCTGAACAAAAGCACAAACAGGAAAGTAGAGTCACCCCAGGGAGGCTCTCCTAGCCCACAGAGAAGCATCTTTGTATTTCTATTTCCCTGAAGGAAGTTGAATAAAAACCAACTTCCTTTAGGCGTTGTCCAAACAGAAAGGAGGAGAGGGAGGAACAATTATACCTTTGGGTTCTGAGTTATTTGTTTTATCCCCTGCAGATTCCATAATAAGGGAGTGGAAAGAAAGAGAAAAAGAAAAGGGAGTTACATTCAGTGAGTCAAAAGTGAGACTTTCTCATTCAAAAATAACAACCACCTAGGCTCTGCTTTAGTAAGTGGTTTTTATGAAAAAGATGCCTTAACAATCCGAGGTTTAGATTGCATCAGAGAGAACAATCTAGAATCAGAAGCAACATACAAATTTAAGGACTTCAGAGGGCTAGTAAAGACCATTTTAAAAGTCCACATATCCCTCCCCTGTGCTTCTGCTGCCTTTCCACCTTCAGGAACGACTATCTCCAGACGTTACCTTGTCACATCCCTGGGAAGCAATTGACCATCTACCTTTCCAATTAATTTAAAGTTCTCATTCTTGATACAAATACCTTTCTCTAACTCAGAGTTTCCTAACCTTAACACTATTAACATTTTAGGCCAGACAATTCTTTGTTTCAGGAACAGTCCTATGCATTATAGCATTTTTAGCAGCATCCCTGGCCTCTACCTACCAGTAGTGCACGCCCCTCCCACAAATTATGGCAACCAAAAATATTTCCAGATATTGCCAAATTTCTCCTGGGGTTAGGGGTGGAGTGTAAAATTGTCCCTGATTGAGAACCACTGCTTTCATCGTTGTCCACTGCATTGATTATGGCAAGTTTTTCTCATTCTCTAAATGTTAGGAACATACCCATTCCAGAAGTCAAATCTTTTTATTTCAAGATGTCTTGTGGGTCATATGACATAGACTTCATTTCTATAAACATTTATTGAGCTCCTTATAAGTGATAGGTTCTCCATGATAGTTTCTAAAAATATATTTTTTAAAAAGATATAGTTCCTGCCCTCTAAAAAATTTAATTAATGAGGCTGACAGTCTCTAGTAAAAGATACCATAAATTGTCAAGGAACAAGTTCAGTGCTTTAGTTAGAGTAAGATGACATAGTCAAGAGAATCAGAGAGAGATAGAATTATAGTGAAGCTGTACTATTACTGCAGATTTGCTTTAAAGACTTAAAAGAGTCTAGCAGGTTCTTTGGATCTAAGTTGACATGAGAGCACAGTCCTGATGCAGAGAAGCATATCACTTTGGGAAAGGGCTGGCTCTCTTCATGTGTCATTCTTTTTAGCCAGATATTGTGGATTGTAACTTGAATGTGAACACATTTCTGTCTACTCTGTCTCTTGTCAATATCCCCTTGACATTCACAGCCATTCACTCTTTCTTATGAATGTTTCAGAGCAATCACAACTGCTCACAAAATTAAAAGGCACACATTTCTATAATAACTTAGTAACTCGTTACTGATTATTATCTTCCAAATTCAAACATTTCATTTCACTTGCTTCTTATAACAGATCAGAGCAATGCCATGCAGGTACACGGAGAGTAGATGTGACTGATGAGGATGGGGGAGGAAGATGTCAATCTCTATTTTGAATGAATTCTCAGGAAATCTCATGTCCACAGTTTGTCCTAACTTCTCCAAGACTATGGGCTTTTCCTCAGTTAATCTTATTATGAGAGTTTGTTTACTATAGCAATGCGTGCATAAGCAATATCAATATCATTGTATGCTAATGAACTCTATTTTGAGCAGGTTGTGGACAACGAACAATAACTCCTTCTGGCAACAAGATAGTAGGGGGCATGGATGCCCAGGAAGGGGAATGGCCTTGGCAAGCTAGCCTGCAACAGAACAGTGTCCACCGATGTGGAGCCACTCTGATTAGTAACAGCTGGCTTGTCACTGCTGCTCACTGCTTCATAAAGTAAGCTCTGGACCACAAAAAGCCTCGAAGCCACTCATGCACCAAAAGTCTGATACATACCTTTCAAGAATATGGCCATACAACTATGCCTCCAAATGTCTGATATTGTGAAGTATACTCTCAAAATTACTCAATGAATCCGTTTTTTTAAAAAAAGATATATTCAGGCTAGAACAGGATCTGTCAACAGTGGCACTATTATATTTGGTCCAAATGATTCTTAATTATGGGAGTGGCTGTCCCGTGCATTATAGGGTATTTAGCAGCATCCCTGGCCCCTACCCACCAAATGCCAGTAGCATGCCCCCCAGGATTGACAACCAAAAATGTCTCCAGTTAACACCAAATGTCTCCTGGAGGACAAAATAGCCCTCAGTTGAGACTCGCTAAGCTAGACTGAATTCAATTTTATAAAGAAACTATAAATCCCAAACTGAGCACTGGTCTTCTATTTCTTTCTCATCATTATTTCATCTGATTTTATTTATTTAGTCATAAATATTTGAATTCATCCTGCAGCCTCCCATATATATTATAGTCCGATGTGAAATTATTATTTCTTTAAAGGATATATTATTGCACCAAGTGTTTGCTTTGTTTTTACCCTTTTGTTTGAGGTTTCATTTTACTAATTTCTATTGGCTTTATGTAGCACTTACTGGTTTTATTTTTAAATAAAAACCCCTCTTAAACTTGCGACTTTGAAATGTTCTAACAGCACTATTTTTCACCGCTTAGTATACAAACCCTTGATTAACAAGTAAGAGCAAAAGTCAGAAATATCTTCCTATTTATAGTTTTTAATGATTATAAAAGAAGATTTAGGCTATTTCCTTAATTTCCATAAGTTTACTCTGTCCCATAATCTTGCCCACTTTTTATTTAATCTTACTATCTTGTCTTATTATATTTATCTTTCTAAATACTCTTGAGACTTTCTGGACAGATAAAATGAGTTCCCATGGCTTATCTTTTAAAATATATCTTATGAAGCAAAGATAAAAAATAAAATATAGCTTATTGAATTATTCGAAGTTTATTCATGTTATTGTTTTTATTTTTTCTCTTACATATAGCTTTACTTTTGTATGTTAAATGCACTACAGGTATTCAATACTTATCTAATTGTTTTAAAACATATAAGATATTAATTCCTACAAGTCTGAAATACAGGATTTTTAATAAATAAATCTATTTTCTTTAGGGCCAGGGATCCCAAAGAATGGAATGTTAGTTTTGGGATTCTTTTAAGTGACCCACAAGTACAGCGAAGTATCAAGGCTATTATAATTCATGAAAACTACCATTACCCCGCACATGATAATGACATTGCTGTTGTGCATCTGTCCTCACCAGTATTATATACAAGCAGCATCCGAAGAGCATGTCTTCCAGAAGCTACTTACACATTCCCACCCAATTCAGATGTGGTGGTCACTGGATGGGGAACATTAAAGTCTGATGGTGAGTTCCTAAACTTCCTCCACTACATGGTTTGAATTTGAGTTTTAGGAGTTAAAAAAAAATACTCCAGGGCGCCTGGGTGGCTCAGTTGGTTGAGCGACTGCCTTCGGCTGGGGTCATGATCCTGGAGTCCCAGGATTGAGTCCCGCATCGGGCTCCCTGCTCAGCGGGGAGTCTGCTTCTCCCTCTGACCCTCCTCCCTCTCGTGCTCTCTCTCATTCTCTCTCTCTCGCAAAAAAAAAAAAAAAAAAAATACTCCAAATCATAACTAAACCTGAGAAATAATTTCTCTAGATCATTTTAAAGAGGATAATGTGCAATGGATTGAAAATTATCCTCAACCACATTCATACAGAAACTACAATTTCATAGAGCTTTTACCATAATTTCCCTTAACAATGGCAGTTTTTGTAGAAATGCATTATTTGAAGAAGTAATTCATTTTCCTCCATTTTATTCATTCATTCATTCTATAAATATTTATCTTGATTACCACCTTTATTCCAAATACAGCTCTAAGTGGTTTGGATATATTAATGAATAAAATAGGTAAATATTCCTGCCCTCATAAACTTACATTTTTAGCAAGAAAAGACAATAACCATGAAATATAATAAATATTTGTTTTATGCAGGTAAGTACTAGACTAAACAAACAAGACTGCAGAGTATTGGACATTTTTGATGAGGAGAAATGAGTAACTCTTTGTGACAAGGCAATGCATCCCCATGACCTTAATAATGTAAAGATTTTGTAGCTATTTCCATTCATAAATGCATCTGAAAGTAGAAAAAAATAAATCTAAAATTAATTCTAAGATTCAGAATTCCTGTAACAGCAGAAAATCTTAAAATGATTATAAAATGTATGTTTCTGGAATATGAATTTTTCATTTTGTTTTCTACGGTTACTAAGAAACTAAGAACAGAGATAAAAGTCTAATTAAAATGTATGTTTTACATTGATTTGGAAATTGTGCATAGTATTAGGTACTAATAAACCTAGTCAGAGATATTAATATTAACTTAGCAAAAGTTATATAATTTTCTTCCTTTAGGAACAAGTCCTAATATACTCCAAAAAGGACTAGTGAAGATTATAGATAATAAAACCTGCAACAGTGAAGAGGTATATGGTGGTGTGATCACACCTGGAATGTTGTGTGCCGGGTTCCTGGAGGGAAGTGTGGATGCCTGCCAGGTAAATCTGCCTACTCCATTTTCTTCCTTTTGTTTTTTTTTTTTTTAAGATTTCATTTATTTATTTGACAGAGAGAGAGACAGCGAGTGAGGGAACACAAGTAGGGGCGGGAGTGGGAGAGGGAGAAGCAGGCTTCCCACTGAGCAGTGAGCCCAACGAGCCCCTCAGATCCCAGGATCCTGGGATCATGACATGAGCCGAAGGCAGACGCTTAACAATTGAGCCACCCAGGCACTCCATTTTCAAGATTTTTTTTCTTGTGGTTTTTAATTCTAATTTATTTGTTCAATTTTCTCAAAAGAAAACATTTTTAGCATTTAATAAGATACTTATTAAGTTAAAATACTAAAGTGCTAAACCACTCCTACCTATATAAGAAGCTGTCAGTAAGAGTAGAGAAGAGACTAAATTTGGAATAAGCAATAAAGAGATGAATGGAATATTGGCAACTTTAGTTAGATTGGCCCTCTTTCAGTGAGAAGCACCCAACTGAATCCAACACCCAACCTAATGATCATGGAGCTTTCTTAATTGAGGGTGGTTCCAATACCCTAAATATTTTGTTTATTTAACAATGCTCCATGTAACAGACACTGTTTTAAGCTCTTTACAAATATTAATTTATTCTAGTTATGATAATTCTGTGGTGTACGTTTGTACTACTGTAAGTCCTATTTCTCAGCTGAAGATACTGAGATAAGGAGATCAAGTAAATTGTTTAAACTCACACAAGTATTAAGTGGTGGAACTCGGACTTAAACAGACGACATTGGGCTACACAGCCTATACTCTGAATGCTACACTAAGCTGCCTTTCCTTATGCTTAATATGCTTCAAACACCTCTGATGCTATTTATAAGCAATAGTCTCAGAGTTAACAAAAGTACTACTGCAGTTATCTAGGCAGGCAGAATCAGTGGTAAATCCAGAAAGACCCTATATTTTATTCATTAGTTTTTATGGATTATGAGGGGCCAGACCCTGTGCTAGGTGCAGAGGAGTTAAAAGTGAATAAAGCATTATTCCTGCACTCTAGGAACGAGAAAACATACAAATAAGTACTTGAAATACATAATTATCATCAATAATTACAGATTCCCATCTTTCCAACTGTCCCACTAACCCTATTCTTCAAAGTTATGACAACTTTAAATTCCAGTTTCTCTCGATTTTCTCTCAGTCCATCACCCCTCAGCACCATGACTCTCTTCTAACCTTATGCAGCCTAGAGGTTTTATTATTTCAACCACTCCATTGACAGCACCCTCAGTGACTTCACCATCTTCTACTTCCCCACACCCATGCTAATAATCTCCAACCACAGAGCAACAAGACTATTTTATTGGCTCCTATACGTAAGCTCCTGAGCACAACTAGAAGAAATCTTGCAGCCTTGTAAACTGGTGTCATATAATCACAGCTGGGTCCTTAACACACTACAGAATTCTTTAATGCATCCTTTATAGTCTATGTCAGCCTTTCATTGCATTATTGAAATGTGTCCCTATATGCCTTTATATTCCTTAACATATGACATTTCCTCATACTAACTAGAAAAAAGAATGAACGAAATCATGAGATCAACTTTAATTTCTTTTCTACATGATAAATTTATATTTGTACTTAAACTTACCTTCCAGGCTCAGGACAAATTTCTTCTACTCTTCAAATCTAACCTTTTGTTAGATTTGTCTTTTGTCTGTATTCTTCATCCCCTCTCTCTCCACACAAGTATTTGAACTTTACATTAATTTGAACTGTCTTCCATATTTTCCAAACTGCCCCATCCCAATGGGGTCTTCCACATATTCTGCAAATATTATTAGGTCTCTCCCTTAATATATCCTACTCTGTCTTTCTTTTTCCCTTCTTGGTCAAATCTCTACAGAATAGATTACTATCATTGTTCCATATTCTCAACTTAATCACTCTCTAACCCAGTGCTTGCAGACTTTGCCCCACTAGACCAGTGAAAGTATTCAAGCCAAGATTACTAATGATGATCTAATTGCCAGGCATTTATGTCCAGTGTGCCATTAGAAATAAAAACCTTGGGCTCAGGAAAGAGTTCTGGCTGTACATACATATCTGAAAGTTATTGTCATCTGGGTGGTAAATTCATGAGTCATCAATACAATTGCTCAGATAAACTATATAAAATAAGAAGCACCTAAGTAATAGAACTCTGGTTTTTAAGGGGCTAACAGTAAGAGATAATAAAGATCAGAAAAACAAAAAACAATAAGAAATTGGTATCATGGGATTCCAGGGATCAGAGAAAAAGGGAATAGTCAATAGTGACACATGCCAAAGAGTGAGATAGATGCTGGAAAGGGTGTCAACTTCAACAATTGTTTATTGGTAAAGTTTAGAACGTTCATTGGTGGAAAGAAAAACCATTTAGGAGAAAGTTGAAAATAAGATAAGAAAACAGAAATTTCAATATAAACTACTACTTCAACCCATTTAGCTATGAAAGGAAGATAATTAGGGCAATAGAGGAGGTCTTAAGATCCAGAAAGGCTGTCATTTTTTCAGATGGGCAAAACTGAAAAAAAAAAATGTATATGCCTGGCAGGGAAAGACAGTGCAGGAAATGAAGACATATTAGGAAAAGCAAACAAGAGAAGATTATTGATAGAACAGTGCCCTTGATCCAGAGAACAGGTGGAGGGATTAGCCTTGGAAAGAACTAAATACCTCCATTTTTCTGACAATGAGTGTAAATACAGATGTGGGCTGATACAGGTAAGCTAGGAAGTCAAAAGAGACAAGGACAAGAAATGGAGAGATGCTATCTATTGTTCTCCACTTTATGAATTTGAAACTAAGAGATTAAATTTTTAAAAATTATAAAATAAGATTTGTGTACTGTTAGTACAGCCTCTATGGAAAACAGCATGGAGGTTCTTCAAAAAATTAAAAATAGATTACGATATGATCCAGCAATTCCATTTCTGGGCATATACACAAAAGAATTGAAAGCAGGGACACAAATAGATATTTGTACATTTAATCCATAGGAGCATTATTCACAATAGCCAAAAGATGAAGCAACCCAAGTGTACATTGATGGATAAGTGGATAAATAAAATGTTACACATACATAAAATTGACTATCATTCATCCTTAAGAAGAAGGAAATGCTGACACATGCTTCAACATGGACGAAACTTGAAGGACACTGTGTTAAGTGAAATAAGCCAGCCACAAAAGAACAAATACTTGTATCACTCCATTCAATATTGAGATATCTAGGGTTTTTTCCCCTTTTTCTGCATCTCCCTGTCTTTATTACAGAAGAGAAAAATAAGCAGTATTCATCTTTAAAGTATAGTAATTGTTTTTTGTTTTGTTTTGTTTTGTTTTAAAGATTTTATTTATTTTTATTTGAGAGAGAGAGAGAGCACATGAGAGGGGAGAGGGTCAGAGGGAGAAGCAGACTCCCCGCCGAGCGGGGAGCCCGACATGGGACTCGATCCTGGGACTCCAGGATCATGACCTGAGCCAAAGGCAGTCACTTAACCGACTGAGCCACCCAGGCGCCCTAAAGTATAGTAATTGTATGTTTCCTTTTTCTCTTTAGGGTGACTCCGGCGGACCTCTGGTTGGTGCAGATTATAAAGGCACTTGGTTCCTTGCTGGAATTGTAAGCTGGGGAGATGAATGTGCTCTCCCAAACAAGCCTGGTGTCTACACTCGAGTAACATATTATCGAGACTGGATCTTGTCCAAAACTGGTCTTTAGTGCAGAAGTTCTTTATGGATTAAAGGTTGAAAATTATACCCTTTTAAAATGTGTTTGTAATTCCCAAACCACATTTAATTTAGAATACCTTTCTTTATGCACATTTAATGTTGCAAATATAAAGATATACAATTTTATGGGCGCCTGGGTGGCTCAGTTGGTTAAGCGACTGCCTTCGGCTCAGGTCATGATCCTGGAGTCCCGGGATCAAGTCCCGCATCGGGCTCCCTGCTCGGCAGGGAGTCTGCTTCTCCCTCTCCCACTCCCCGTTTGTGTTCCCTCTCTCACTGTGTCTTTCTCTGTCAAATAAATAAATAAATAAAATCTTAAAAAAAAAAATAAAGATATACAATTTTAGAACTATGAAATTTTTGTATATTAGATTTTGAAAAAGGAATAGTGACAGCAATGAACCAGGATATATAATTTCCCCTATACTCCTCTCTAGACTGAAGGTAATTATATGAACAAATATGGATTACAGTTCACTAAGATCTCTACTGATTTGTAGATCCAGGTCCCTTAGGAAATCATAGAATAGGTGTTAGCAATAAACTCCCTTCTGAGTGTATAAATAATCCCCTGGTGAATCACATGCCTGCCACAAGCTCCATATATTGGTAGGTTGTAGCCTAGTGAATTGCTGTATAGTGCCTATAAAAATTCCCAAAGAAACGCTGTCTACCTGTCTTCTTTCCATGCCATGCCAATGCTAATCTCTTCTCTATTTATGGCTTCCTCACTTTGATGACCCAAAACAGCATGTTAATCCCATGGGGTACATTGAATAGATCCCAATGCTTGTTGATCTGATCCTAATTCTCTTTCATATATAAGTGAGGCCAGAAGATGTTTCTCACATACACACATACAGTAGTAAAATTGTCCTCAGACACATGGGCTACATTTCACTACATAGGCTTGAACATGCTATGCAGATAACACTGTATTACGTATCTCCAATCTCTTAAAATTCCTCAACAATATCAATTATCAGCCAGAAATAAATAATATGGAAATTTTGCTTTCCCTTCACTTTCCTTTCGCCCATACAGAAACATTCTAGCTGAGGGCACAGAGGTCTATAAATGCACTGTTTAGAGCTCATGCCAACTTACCACCTAAACAGATCAGTTGGCTTTTATCATGAATATTACCACATGGTCGTACTTTCCCAGACTGCAGTCCAGTCCTTCTCTTTTTCATCACTGACATTCCTACAGCTACCACTAATAGCTTTCATTATGATATAAATTTTGTCCATGGACCCCCCAAAATAATGACGTTAATAATAGTACCTAACATTTATAGACCACTTACTATGTTCCAGGCACACTTGACATGCATTATTACACTGAGCCTTCACAATGACCTTGTGAGGATGGTTCCCTTGCAAACTTAATTTTTTTGTTGTTGTTGGTCGGTCTATTTATTTATTTATTTATTTTATTATGCTATGTTAATCACCATACATTACATCATTAGTTTTTGATGTAGTGTTCCATGATTCATTGTTTGCATATAACACCCAGTGCTCCATTCAATACGTGCCCTCTTTAATACCCATCACCAGGCTAACCCATCCCCCCACTCCCCTCCCCTCTAGAACCCTCAGTTTGTTTCTCAGGGTCCATAGTCTCTATGGTTCATCTCCCCCTCTGATATCCCCCCTTCATTTTTCCCTTCCTGCTATCTTCTTCTTTTTTTTAACATATAATGTATTATTTGTTTCAGAGGTACAGGTCTGTGATTCAACAGTCTTACACAATTCACAGCACTCACCATAGCACATACCCTCCCCAATGTCTATGACCCAAACCACCCAGCAAACCCTCAGTTTGTTTCCTGAGATTAAGAATTCCTCATATCATTGAGATCATATGGTACATGTCTTTCTCTGATTGACTTATTTCACTCAGCATAATACCCTCCAGTTCCATCCACGTCATTGCAAATGGCAAGATTTCATTCCCTTTGATGGCTGCATAATATTCTGTTGTGTATATATACCATGTCTTCTTTATCCATTCATCTGTCAATGGACATCTTGGCTCTTCCCATAGTTTAGCTATTGTGGACATTGCTGCAATAAACATCAGGGTGCACATACCCCTTCGGATCACTACATTTGTATCTTTGGGGTAAATACCCAGTAGTGCAATTGCTGGGTCGTATGGTAGCTCTATTTTCAACTTTTTGAGGAACCTCCATACTGTTTTCCAGAGTGGCTATATCAGCTTGCATTCCCACCAACAGTGTAGGAGGGTTCCCCTTTCTCCACATCCCTGCCAACATCTGTCATTTCCTGACTTGTTAATTTTAGCCATTCTGACTGGGGCAAACTTAATTTTATAGATAAGAAACTGAGATAGAGAGAAGTGAAGCCCAGAGTTTATAATTGGCTGAGCTGCAACTCAAAATCAAAGGACTGGATTCCAGAACCCACACTTTAAACAACTATGCTCTGTTATGTGATATGGTTATAACTAAGGATCTACCTAGCATAGTATTCTAAAATGTAATATTTGTCAAGACTGTAAAGATGAATTAACACAATAGCTTTATTATCTGATGGATTTTTAAAATATTTTGATATATATCAAGTTATACATTTATAAGAATTAGTATTCCTACTTTTTAATTTTTTAGAAATTAAATATTTACAAAAAACTATATGGATATTGGTCAGGATTTGTTGTTGGTCACAAGTGAGAGAAACCCAATTAACACTAGCTTAAGTGAAAAGAAAACATTTTCAATTCATTTACTAAAAATCTAGGGATCTACAGTGGCAGAGCTGAAGCTAGTTCTAGGGGCTCAAATAGTGTCTTGACCTCTAGCCCCATCTTAACTTTTCCCTCCTCTGTCTTCATTCATGGCCAGTGCTACCTACTGAGGTGGTAAAGATCTGCTCCCTGGCTCTACCATTAGGTTTTCTTTAGTGCAAAACTAACAGTTCCACAGATATACAGCCCTCCTGCCCTCTGGTTCCAGTAAAAAAATAAATAAATAAATAAAAATTCTGAGGATGCCTATGATGGACCCAGCTTGGATCAGTGTATCCCTCTTGGTGGAGGAGGGTGGGGGGTGGGGAGATTTGATCAATAGCCCTCAGAGCAGGGAGGGGCATTTCAAGAAAAAAAAAAATGCTAGCAGACAAAAAATAATGGTCATCTATTACCCAGTGCAAAATGTGCTATCCTCTAAATCAATACAGTATTATTCTCAATTACATTACCTCACAACAGATTCTATATTTTCATGTGTTTATTATCTTAACTACAGATTTTGCATAAAGCACTATCATGCTATGCATATTCTGGTATCTTAGAAAAAAAAAAAAGCAAGATGATTTAAGTCACCAGTACTCTTTTTAACCTACCTTCTTTGTGTATAGAAAGTGCATAATATTCTTGTGGGGGGAAAAAGTACAAATACTTTTTATATTGGAAAATAATTTGACATGAAAACAGGTATGTTAAGTAAACACATTTAAGAAATCCGCCACTTCCAAATAGCGTCGGTTTAAGTGAATTGACCTGCATAATGGTACACTCTATGATGATAGACTTCCTTTCCCTCTTCTCCACAAGAGAGACTGAACAATAGGGAAACCAGTTAGAAAGGTGCCTGCCCACTGGGGCAACAATGTTGTTAACGCCTGGGTCTCTCCAGAGTCAGGCATTCTTGCTCTAAAACAGTATCTGGCAAGAGTTAATGATGAGACGTTGAGATAATAGTGAAAACTCATTACACTGAATATAAATAAATAAGTTATTACCGTTTATTAAATAGGTAAGTTAAATATTATACAATAACACTACAAGTAAGTACTGTATGTTGAAGTCCACTTTTTCTGTCAATTCCTCCTTGCTGCTAAGTAGTAATATTTTAATTAATTTATAAGGTTCACTTCCCAGTTGGTTTCTTCTTTTGCCTGTTTAAACTCCATGCCTTTGTGCCTGCTACCATCTGTTTATGCTACTGGAAGATGCATGTAGCATTGTTCAGACTCTTCCTGCCATAATTTAACTTCCTTCAGAAAATCTTATAGGTTAAGTGCAAAAAAGCTGGCTTCCTCAATGATTTTCATCAAGGCTTTTCACCAAGAAAACAATACAAAACAAAAGCAAAAACCTTTGTAGATAGTTTATTCTTTATTCATTTTCAAGGATCCCCTTGTTAAAAAAGAGAGAGAGAGCCATATGACATACATATTCAAGTACTAGAAAAAACAGTCTTGTCACATTTTCTTTTAACCCCTCACTATGTGGGGGTTTTAATATAAATTCACATTAATTCTTTTTCTAAGAGGAAATTCTTTTTTTTAAAGATTTTATTTATTTATTCATGAGAGAGAGAGAGAGGCAGACTCCCGGCGGAGCAGGGAGCCTGATGCAGGACTCAATCCCTGGGCCCTGGGATCATGACCTGAGCCAAAGGCAGATGCTTAACTGACTGAGTGACCCAGGCATCCCATAAGAGGAAAATTCTTACTCATATAGTTCACTATAATTCATACAGTTCAAATGACATTTCTTAAAATTTTTTCATATTAAAAAAATGTAAAATCTGTATTATAGACTCTCAGTCTATAATTTCAACACCTAGAACTCTGATACACAGAAATATTTGTTAAATAAATCAATGAAAGAATGAATGAATGAGTATATCTTGGAAACTAGCTCCTATGACTGGATTAAATAAGGCATATCCAACAAATGAAAATACAACATTTTAATGAATAGAAATCTGTGCAAAATAAAAGAAAATAACAGAAAATGATTTTGAAGTTGACAGAGAACTTAAAAACCATGTCAGGAATTTTACAGGTAAGAGCTGAGACCCCAGAGGCCTAAGAGTCACACAAGAAAATGGGGACCACTTGATTCCCAATGTTGTGCTCTTTCTTCTCTATTATATCCATTATGAAAATGTAGTTTAAATTCCATTACAGAGAATGCTATTGCCCTCAAATGCTGATTTCCTAGAATGTTTTTTGAATAGATTTTCTAGTGTAAGGGACATT